TACGACAAACTTCACCACATGGCCAACCGTTTCCATTTGTCCACCATGCGATTCGGTCTAGCTTTCAAAACAAAAAACCAAGAAAGTAATTGCCCAAAGACAGCAGCCAAAACCGCAGCAGGTAGGTGCATAGTTTAGGGTTGCAGAAACTGAAATTGACTTGGTCCATTGTCTCTTTTGTCTGATTAAGAAATCGAAACAAACGATCTAAGTATTTTCCCTTTTGTATTATGTTGACAGAAGCCATTGTATAATGTATCGCACTGCGCTCATTCTCCGTTTCATTTGCGATTCAACAGGACCCTTTTGGATTCAACTATGAACCGTTGAATGCTCCTCATCTAGACGAAACCGGCGAGTAAGTTGAATGAAGTGTACTTCTTTTGCCCAGTTTGCTCCTACCACACAGTTGCCTGAAGAGTTTGCATTAAACTCGGTTTACACATGTAAAATGATGAACTGACAGTAAAATGTGTATCAAATCAAATAAGAAATGTGTCATGTCATTCAGTTAGCGAAACATAGGAGATAATATGATTAGATCGATGAGCAGAATATTTTGGCTGAAACATTCCTTCCGGATACACAGCTCCACGGAAACTCCCATCGACACTAGTTCTGTTTTTTAGTTTCTCAAATTTCGTCGTAAACAGTGAACTGGTGTAACCCCCTGATCGTTACACTCAGTGCGTAAGTATGGTTTCAACCAGCAGCCAACTGTCGCTGTACGTAATTCATTCTGGAAAAATGACAAGTAATATGAATGTGAATGGGTGAGATGAATATTTTCAGTAGCGCCGAGGCTGACCATTAATTTCCAGTGCTTTTGATTCATTATCAACACGCATTTTACAGCATTCCTTATCGTAAAACGGATGTAAGTTAAGAATGAAATCCCTTCAAAGTGATAATTAAAATGAGGGGCAAAATAACTAAGAATACGTAAAGTGTAATCACTCTGGTAGGGGAAAGGACCTTTGGGCTTATAAAAGACGATGGTGATAATTTGTCAGCAGACGGGGGGGGGAGTGATAGAAATGACTGAAGTCCTAATCGTTATAAACATGTGAGTTTGGCTCCAGCAGCAACTATTGTTTCAATGAATCCGGACATAAACCGTTAGCTTCTGGACTGTTTACTAATTCAACGCTAACAATTGACTTGCCGTCAAACGTGATAGCATCTTCCTGTAGCGGAAGCCAAGAACTTGCAGGATGTCGCGCACAAACATTCCACTTCAAGCAGATCTGGAGAAATAGGTGCTTTGAAGCTGCATTCAGGTTTGGGGATTTTCCGTTTGTAAGCATAAAAGGGTAATATTCTTCCTGTAATATTAGGTACCGAGAGATCTTGAAAGTAAATTTAAATCCGCTAAGTCGGTGGCTATGTGTTGATTTAACGGAATCAAAAAGTGGGCCGAAGACCTTCAACAAACAGTCGAATCACCTGTATAGTAAAGGATACGCCGTCTTCCTTTTCAACTTTGTCATAGAGGATGTTCTGCAGAACGCTTGGTCCGGTCTAG